TTTCTTTCTTTCTGTCTTTCTTTCTGTCTTTTTCTCTTCCGATCGACTCTATCTCTAGTTGAAGAAAAGGAGGATTGGAAATCATTGGAAATCACTACACTTGCAAAAGTACATAACTGTTGTTTATTGGTGTTTTTTATGCATTTTAAGAAATATTTATTTACATATTAACTTGATCCAATGTAACTAGAGTAACAATAGCTAACAATGCAATCCAACAGAAGTGCTTTTTGTGTCCTTACCACACAATCCCTTCATGTTTAATGTTTTTATTTTAAGAGTCCTTCCAGGCTGCGCCCATTTTTTCATGTCCGACGAAATCCGTATTCCTTTTTTGAGATATAAATTTTGTAGATGAGGAATTCCATCATGTTGATTATAAAGTTGCATCATTTACATTTGTGTTTCGTTGTCTCTTGTCTATGTTTTTGGTTTCAATTTTACCATGGCGTTTTATTGTCGACAAAGAACGACATTACGCAGATATTGCACAGGCAGCCCAAAGAACTCGTAGTAAAATACTTGATGTTGTCCAAGTAATAACCTAAGTAGCTTAGTAACCTAGCACACCACAGCTAGTCCATACTTCATTACTGAATGTGGGTCGCAGCCGGGTAAAAATGTTTTGTAGAAGAGCCCGCTCTTATAGTGTTCAGTCGTGATATCCAACTGCATAGGTGCATTAGCAGAAATGTTTATGAAAAACCAAGGTTTTTCTTTTTGTTGTCTGTTTCATCCCCATCAAACATTGCCAGGTCAAGACCATCGAGAATAGAGTTAATATCGCCATCTTTTGTTATTGCATAAGTTGCGCTTCGACCTGGAAAAAAAGTGTCATTGTYTTATGAGAATAGCATTGGAATTCAGGCGTTAAAATCTTGATCATGGGGTCGCATTTAAAACTGCAGAACCTGCCGTTCACATTTCGGGATTTTTCATGCAAAAGAAAAACGAAAGAAAAAAAGAGAAGATAAAAAACACCCCGCTGGTTGATGTCCAGATGTCATGTGAGTGATCATCCTCCGCCATTTTTGAACACAGATAATCATTGCGGAGCTTGATTCGTTTATTCGTATATACACGCAATAGATGGATATTCCGGTCCTTTTCTGTAACATTTTTCACTCAATTTTTGAATTTACCCTTATCCAATCTAATATTGCGGACAACGATCACGTAACCGGTAAGTGTTGGGGCCTTTCTAACTCACCTCCTGTCCATTCGTTTACTGAGAAATAAAATACACCTATAACAATAAAATACATATGTTTAGTTTGGTATCCCTATCAATATAATGTATTTGGCCTTTGATGCAAGATTGGCCAATCGAAGACCATGATCATCGGCGACTTTACTAGTAACTCGTAAAAGTCCTCTGTAAGGTTACTGAAAAAGCACCTACCAACCCCCTTCCCTATCCCCGCATCTTATCCGACTAGAGAGAGAGAGAGAGAGAGAAAGATAGAGCATCAATGTCTATACGTTACCATATATATATTAGGACGTAAAACCAAGCGTAATAGGTGACCTACTAGGAGCTGGTCATTATTAATCACCATTATTAAATCAGGGAGAGGTTTAGACAACTGGAGGGGGATAAGGTAAATATTGATAGGAATAAAAGGGGGATCACTCAGTAGTAAGCACTTATAAGGCGTGGATCATTTAAATTATACTGTCTCTTGGATGGTATCAGTCTTTGTGATATTTAATTAAAAATCCCCAGACCCTGCCCCAGTCAAATAATGACCGCTCCCTAATTAGAAGAGAGCAAATGTCAACCAGTGAGATTCAATTGCAAGTATTCTTCTCACTTCTTCTTCTTATGTTCCTAATTAATTAATCTGATATGACTATTGTCGGTGTTCCATTTGTCCTTTTGTTCTCAAAGGCTCTTGGGATATTTTGGTTGAGTGTTGTAACTAACCTTTTTTTTGTTTCCTTAAAGCTGCTATTTGAAGAGAATGTTTTCGCCGAAGCTCTTCGTATGTTTGTTTAAATTTCTCATGGAATTCATTCAAGTCTTTTCGCATTTCTTGTACAATCATATTATGTCTTTGTTTGGCAGGAAGCTTTGCCCATAGAGGCCACGAACCCTCAATATCTTTACCTGGATGGTTGAAATGAGGAATAAAAAATGGAAACGCTGAAACAATTAATTGCATCCACAACTGATAAGCTAATGATGTAGAACAATGATTTCAAATATAAATTCTAATGTAGAACGCGCGCGCGCAAAAAATGATGTTGATGAATATAAATTCTAGTTTAATCTAGGAAATATATTGGCAAATATAGATTGAAAAAAAAAGTAAAAAAAATTATGTAAATTATAAATATAAATTCTAATCTAGGAAAAATTATGTCAAATATAAATTCAAATGTTTTAGTTTCTAGGGTTTGTATAGCCTCTGTCGTAGAAGATTCAAGTGAGAGGAAAGTGGAGGCTATATTCTACATGGGAAAAGTGTGCGAGAAGGTAAAAGCTTACCCTCAACAATCAACATATTTTCGTATACAATTTTATTTCCTATGCACTAAAATCGAGTGCTCTTTCCATTTATGTGGTTCCCGCGCCATCTTGACACGAGTGCTTCGCTTATAGGGGGGTTAAGTCACGTGATCTAATAGCGTAAATGGCACATTGCAGCTATGAAATTCAGTCATAATTACTTATGCATTTCTTTAATCTGTCCATCAATCCATAGTACTTACTATTGTTATTATTATTCTTTCTCATCATTTTCTTGACCTGTCGTCTTCGGTATCCATATTCCCACATCAAAGCTAGCACTACTATTACAGCCAAGGCGACCCCAAGTATAAGTGCGGTCAGCCTGAATAAGTCTGACTCTGATGTCAATAGACTACTAGAGGTCTTGATAGCAGGAGGGATCGAACTGGCCTTTGGAAAGATAACAGCAAACAATGCAATGCTCAAGTAAAAACTAGACTGCTTAACAATTAGGGTGAGTTCCAGATATCCAGGGGAATGAACGCAACGTATTTACAGACAACCATCGTTACAGCCGATACCCTCGGGACCGTCGCTTGGTGTCCGCATAATAGCTAGCACTCGCTATAACGATAGTTAATTACGGTCATTTCTTTGTCAGTATTCACCACTTTCCATACATCGGTTTACTGGTCAAACGCAAAGCATTCAGTCGAGGTTTCAAGGTTCGAATTTGAATAATCCTTTGAAAATACCTTGGCGCCTCGCTTGAGCGCTTTGTGTTTGACCTGGAACCAATGTATGCAAAATGGTGAATCAGTTTCCGCCTGGCTTTTGCTCCTCCCTGGAATATCGAGGTGTTCGTAATACTGGGTCGTCCACAAGGTGAGAGTCGGCTGCTTTGGGGTGGGATACTTTAGGTGCCGGGAAGGGATGGATGAGCGTAGATCACATTGTCCTATTCCTTCCCCCTCCCCTCCCCCATATTTATGGAGAGAGATGATATTTATTGAAGGGAGAGGATCACTATGCTTCGACTGAGAAATGCTACAACTACTCTCCCCCTTCCCCCCACCCCAATAAATAAAGTAAAACCCCTTCCTCTGGTTTTTAATGATGTATAGAAATAAAGGCGACAAGAGATTAGTTATCTACCTTGATATTCTTGACATTACTCTGTACTATTTTATGGATTTCATTCTCCTCACTCTTCATAAAGTTCCGCATACAATTACCCAGTTTCTGTGCATCGCCGCCAAGCACCACGCCGTTAGTCGACTCGAAACCCGTCTTGATTATTTCTTTTACCCTCAACCACTTCTCGTTGAATAATTTCTCCTCGCTTGCTGTTGCGTACGAGTCTAGCAAAGCAGCATGGACCTTTTCGTCCTTAAGGTCTTGATATATGTCGTAGATGTTACCATAGCGACCTAGGTGGGAACGATGACGAAAAAAGATTAAAGAAATAGTACTAAAATACTTCAGTCCTTATTTATAATAGTAATAAATTATGCGTTCGGTGTGTATAATGAAGTAGAGAGAATAAGAGAAAAATGCCAATTTTTTTCGCTTATTCTCTCTACTTCATTATCTATAATAGATTTTATTTTCATTCAAAGTAACTTTCTCACGTCTTCACRGCTTTCTCGTAAATGTCCGGGGAATTTGGGAATCAACTTCTCCAATGAACCTCCCTTCCTTCAACTCTGGGGCTTTCTAGTGATCGGTGCGTTATAATAGCAACCACATTTTAAGCATGAAGAAAAGGGGTGCTGAAGAGAAATCGGAAGACTGTATGAATATTCTCCGAAGAGGTGATCAAAATATTCCTGTTATTATGGCCGTGTATTGCATGTTCTGAACACTTTTAATCTTGTCTTTCTTGCAGTCCGAACAGTGATAGCCTATAGCCTAACCATTTTTGCCCCGCACGAAACATGAGTATCTGATACAGCTGACTCCACAATACATCCTGAGGTCTTCCCTTCAAATTTTCTTTGGCCTTAGTTAGAAAGTGGAATCATTGTATTTTATCACAATTTGCTTATTCTTTCATCAAATTCAAAAACTCTCTTGTCGTCTCTGACGGACGCGGATTTCCATAAAACTTTGGTCTACAACAACAGGGAGGATTTGTGTATCTATTCGAGACCACAGTTTCCCGAACGTGATTCTTTGTACCCGGAGAAACAACCGAAACATTTTTGCGCGTGTTCGTAAAATAGACATGAAAATAGCGGAATTGGTAAGAGAAACACAGAAACTTCGTAGATCTGCAAACATTTGTGGTAGAAAAAGGAAGTTCTTAAAGTATTAACCAACTTATTTCCTGCAAAAAAAAATCAACGGTGTAGGTARAAAGGGACTGTTGTTCGTAAGTTTCCGAACATGCGCACTACTGGTTTCACCAAGTTTGATCAGCTTACCAACAAGGATGGAGTTTCTTCTCACACCGAGTTTGTATTCCGAAGAATTATCGATCGCTGCCACCTGAAATGAAAACRCAACGACAAATTATCGGAATGTTGGGGATGCGCGCTAACGATAGGTATAAAGGTAATTAGATAATCAGGCTCCTTCCATCTGTTACACACTACATGGAGTTTACTATAGTTTTCTTATGAGGGGGAAACGTACGATACTAAACAGCACGTACGGTACGCTATGTCTTAACTGATTGAATATCGCTTCCCATTGTTTTTGTGGGTTTCACGGTAAGATACGAAACGGCTACGGTACGTCTATGAATTTCGCGTAACGCTTCCGACTCACCCATACAAAGATATATCATACAGTATTCTCTAACTTCACATTATTTGTTGGGTACGTATAGGAGTATAGAAAACCCACTTAGAGTGTAGAAATGTTGCTCTCATTTTTATTGTCTTCGCCATCCCACCAAGACCTCTCCTCCTCTACCCTTCCCTTGGAAATCAAATCCACACTTGCCGACCTACAGACTAATCTATACCTTGGTGCCGTAAAGCTTTAAATCACTCTTGAACACCATGCTCATTAGTGAGGCCGTAATACTACTTGTCAGGACAGCGATGGTAGCTATGCCCATCCAGATCCACACTATAGCAAACAAACGCGCAATGACTGACTTGGGAATTCGATCGCCATATCTGCAAAGAAATAGTAATTTTGTGAGTCACTGGAAAAAAAAGTACAACACAACGACCTCGAGATACTTCTTGGTTCGTGACCATTCTCAAGGAACAAAGTATAACATAACAAAACACAAACGTATACACGTATACAAACAAAAATGTTGGTAAACTCCACCGGTTATGACTTCATATGAAAACCAAGAATTGTCTATCATATTGGTTTCGTTAGTCATTCCTGTGTTTTTCTGTTTTACTTTTGGTTATGGGGTTTCCCCTGTTGTTGACATTTTTGTCACGAGGAAGGCCTGCGAGGAAGGAGAAGGTAGCGCCGGCATAAATATGTCATTTTAGCTGGGGCTTTTTAACATGTGACTAGAGTTATCCGTATCACTCGACTCAACACGTGCATGGTATAACAGTGGTGAGGTTGTTTTGTTGATACAATGTTATTTTTAGATGGGGTTTTTGTAAGGATTATTTGTAACTGAATGTTATTGTTTACATGTGACCACGATGACATAATAATCAATACGTGCATAAATGAATGAATGAATGAATGAAGGAATTAACTTTATTTTATACGACTCAGTAACACTGCTTTTCAGTGTGTGTTACTCAATACGTGCATGGCAGTCAAGTGGTTGTTTTGTCAGTTGTATTGATTGTTTATGGTTTACACATGACTTGTGCTGGAAGTCATGTGAGACCGTTCAAAACAACCGGCCTCAGTTATAGCTAGTCATAGCTTGGTATCCGTTTGTTAACGGCAAAACAGAATCAGAACAAAATCATAACAGAACAGAACAGAACAGAATCAGAACAGAATCAAAAATGTTTCGAAACCACTACAATTAATAGTTATGTATTGTAGCGAATTATCAAAGCAAATCAATCGTAGATAAAAGGAGTTTTAGCAAACCAATAAAATGTGTTGACAGGATGCATGGAACCACTTACAAAAAATGTATTGTTCAATTCAATTGATCACAACAGAGATCGAAACAGAACAGAGTTCGAAACAACGAGACAGAAAAAATATATAAATAAATAACTGGTAATACCGGAAGAGGTCAAATAAGTAATCACTCACAGCTGGAATAAAGGTTATATATGTCATTTGTTTTAGACTATAAGTAGGACATGCCTTGAACCATTGCAACTCTGTTTATCAGGGGAAACGCATCAACACGTTATCGAACTTTAGCTAAATCGATCAGAATACATGTTTGACGCAGGAATATAATCGTGTCACACAGAAGACAGCTAAGTCGCGACTAAGTCATTGTTTTTATACTGATAAATTTTAATTTTTGGCAAGCAACAGCTGAGGAGTAACTCTAATAATAAGCAGAGAGATGAACAGTGGATTTCCGCCTATGGATTTCAAGATCGCAGTATTGGGAGCCGGTGGAGTAGGCAAAACCTCTCTCCTAAGAGCGTTCTTCGACCAACCTTTTACTACAGACCATAAACCGACTGTGGATGACTATTTTGTGCACGGGATCAAGCTACGTGGGGTTTTCTATAACGCTTGTATCGTTGATACAAGCGGTAGCTTCTCGTTTCCGGTGATGAGGCGATTTGCTATTTCGCATTGTCAAGGCTTTGTTGTGACTTATGCTCTAAATGACGAGAAATCGTTCCAGGCTGCAGTGTCGACACTGGATGAAATAATCGATTTGAAGGCAGGTATTGGCTTGAAGTATAAGCGGATTCCAGTTATGCTGGTAGCGAACAAATTCGATTGTAAAGACAGGCAGGTTTCCGCTGTTGAAGCTCAAGCCGAACTCAACACTCGACCTTGGATTGTGGGCTTGTATACTGAAGTGTCGTGCAAGACTAATAGTGGGGTTGATGGGATATTTGAAAGCCTTTTGAACCTAATGCAAGCTATTAAGGAAAGAGAGCAGAGTAAAAGTGATAAATCATCTTCTCTTCGGCAAAGCGGGAGAAATTCCTCAAGAAAAAAGTATAATTCTGGCGGAGGAAAGAAATGAATTTTTATTCACCTTTCATAAATCGTCTTTTTCCTTAGTTCCAATGTGAAACTAAAAAGGCCTAAAAACAAACTCAAGAGACAACGACTAGAAAGTACAATATCTACATGTACTATTATTACACATGACGGGCATATTTATCATTATATATATGATATATTCCATTGAATTAACTCATCGAAATTCATGAACTCACATGAAAGATTGCTGAAAACAAAAACAAAAAACTTTTACTTTTAATAGAATGCTTGATACTTATGATTTGATAAAAATACACGGTCATAACCATGAACAGTAGTGTTGATCACAAGCTTCCAAGCATGTCTGTTGTTCAAAGAATGCTTGGATGACCAATTACTATTTCCTCCAAGAAAATAATAGTCCGAAGCATAGAAAACAATATGAAGAGAGCTTTCGTAGAATTTCGAAGCAGGGACGGATTTTTGCCATAAACCAGTATTCATTGTACACATAGTCGATAGATTAACTATGTTGTACATGATTGTCTATCCGTGACTGAAAATGTAAATAAGGAAAACTGAAGTACACACACGTAAACAGAAAGCAAATAACGACGAAAGAGAAAGATAAGGCCAAAAAAATGAATGTCATTTTTAAGATAGACAGATGAGTCTAGAATAGAGTTTTAACACGATCGTGTTTGTTTATGAGAATACCTACGTTATTTGCTAGAAATACATAGAATGAACGACAAGGAATATTAATTACAGGTCAATAGAGAGACGACGGAGAATGAACGCCTACGCGCAGTCGATAAGTCTCTTTACATTACATGCGAAATAAACTGAACCATATCATGCATTCCTTTGTTTATTAACTCATAACCCTGGATAAAGTGGGAGGATTGTTGATAAGCATTGTGTTTGATATGCGTATATTCCGTCAAAACAAGAATTCATATCCTTATTTTTGGTCAATGAGGACCGAATAAATCTCATGCTTGGCAATTTCTACGGAAAACTCTAAAGGACTTTCGGATTGATCGAGAACTCCACACAAATAATATGGTACTGTCCCGCTATAAGTAGTACTGTCCCTATTTTAACGGCCCTAACGGTAACACCCCCCTACGGTAACACCCCCCTACGGTAACACCCCCCTACGGTAATAAGTCCCATTACGGTAACACCCCAGCCCTACGCTAGCACCCCCTACGGTAACACCTCCTACGGTAACACCCCCCTTCGGTAACAACCCCCTAGTGCCAACACTACTCACCCTACAGTTGTCATAGTGATGAAGGCCCACCAGAATCCTTCTATAGTTCCATCAATAAACGATCTTGGAAAATGCTTGGGGTTATAGTGTACATCCTGTAAAAAAGAAAGGCATGTTCTTCCTTATAATATACTAAGTCCACTTAATCCCTACATGTGTGTATTTAGTATTTTTAT